TGCTCATGCTTGCTTGCTCATGTCATCATGCACTAAAACAAAATAATGGAGTACACAAGGAATGCATAATTTTGAATGATGAGTCAAAGAACATCAACAATGTATATAGTTGGAGACTCAACCATGATAGTCACGATGCGGTGGGAATGAGGTGCTGAAACTTTGGCGCTAACGCCCCCCCTGAATGATCTTGACGATTTTGGGCATCTCGAGCAGAGCTTTTCAGGGATTTTCACCAACACTACCCTGGTCCTCACAACATCGAACCGACCGGCTCAAAATATTTCAGTAACTTTTCACCAACACCAACTCTGGTCCTGGCAACATCGAACGGACAAATAGCAAAAAAAAAAGAAAAAAGGGAGTTTTTTTTTGAGGGAAATACTCGTGATTATATTATGTTAAGGAAAACATTACAAGGAGACATACAGTAGATACGAGTACATCCACGCAGGATACCGAAGAACACCAAATCCAACTCAACCACACAGCCGCTGCTACCCCCATCTCGCCGTCGTCGCCGCCGGAGAGAGAAGAAAAGCGACCAACCCCTTTAGATCCGGAGAAGCACCATCGCTTGTAAGCTTTGTGAGCCGCACAATCGTAGCCCGCCGCGAGAGGCGAGATCTTGAGCAGAGCTGAAAAGCCCAGGCGGCCGGAGCAACGCCCCATGCCGCACCGGATCCGCATCGGCCAGCTTCGCTGAAGCAGGTTCAAAGACCAATCGCCGATGAACAACCTCCAGTCCTTCATCCCTGTCGTAGCCACCTCCCGCATCCACAACAAAAGAAGCGCCAGAAGCATCTTCCCATGGAGCCGAAGAAGCGGACAAGCCCCAACCACCGCTCCACAGGGCCAAAGCCGCGAACGCCATGGGTCAGAATCCTCGACCCCCCTCGCCGTCTCGCCACACCAAAGAGCCCAGCGGTGACCGACGACGACGACGACCAACTCGCAGGATCGTAAACACTCAGATCCGCGAGACCAAAAGGACCCCAGCTCCTCGCCAGTGCCAAGAACGACGCCGAGCGAGCGAAGAAGGAGACAGGGCCACTTTATTCCGCACACCGACGCCTCCTCCGCCATGACGCCGGTGCAAAGGACACCAAACCTAGAAAATCTAGGACTATATACACCGCCAGGCATCAGATCCGGGATCTCCCACCCCTCCGGCAGCCATAATGGCCACCGGAGGTGAAGGAGACCACCGGTCTTGCCGACGGGGATCAGATCCGGGATCTCCCACCCCTCCGGCAGCCATAATGGCCACCGGAGGTGAAGGAGACCACCGGTCTTGCCGACGGGGACAGAGGAACTCCTGGATCTCGCCCTGCCCTCTTCTGTAGGCAGTTTCGAGAAAGGACGGGAAGAGAGAGCCTTGTAACGTTCGTGTGCTGTGTGTGTTCTAGGGTTTAGGAAAAAAGGGAGTTGATATGCGAACCCGCGTGCCACGAGACCGGCGCAAGCAACGCTTGAGCCCGTCGCCCGTGCACACCCAAAGATCATAATGGGCTACGGCCGGGGAACAATTCCCACGGCACAAGCGCCCGATGGCCCCTAGGGACCGAACCCACACTTGGGCCAGCCATCAGATCTTTTCCGATGACGACTTCACCGAAACACATGATCGGGCATAAACAGCCACGATGCGTCCGAGCGCCCATCAAGGAGCCCTCGTCTTTCCCCTACCGTTTGCAGACAGCAGGGCGAACTTTAACATTAATGCCACGGGCTCGAGCCCACCAACCCACATACCAACTCCCTGGCCCTCCAAGGCTGGAGTCACAAGCGCACGCCACCACGCTCGACCGATGCGCACGATGGGTGCTGTGTTTATATGATGGTGCGGGAGTCACCCATCTAGCGAGGTGGTACTATTAACATTCGTCCCCTGCCTTTGGTGGACAGCGTGTGGGACTGTGGGTGTTTCTGTTCTTTCCTGGAGCTACTATTTTCATCCTGTTACAGAAAAGTACATGCGTGGTGGCAAAGGTCATAGGCATGTGCAATATTTATTTTTTAGGATTATGTGCAGTATTTTCTATAGTATTAGTTCTTGTGTGAAAAAACTTTCGATATATTCATTAACAATCAAGGTAAGACAAAGAACACCAGAAGTAAAAAATAAACTTCCGCCATATTTGTCTATAGACTACCTAGCGATGACTACGAGCACTGGAGCGAGCCTATCCCTCGTCGGAGCCAGGCAAACCTTGGCGTAGTAGACAATCGGAAAGTCGTCGTGTTAAGACCCTATAGGACCAGCGCATCAGAACAACATCTGACGCCGATGAAGAGAAGCGTAGATCAGAAGGATCCAACATTTAGACACACGAATGAAGATCAGATTCAAGTGGATCCACCGAAGACAAACGCCGACAGAATCCCATGAGATTCTTCGAAGACAAACCTCCACACAGCCTGTGACGACACTAGAAACGCCACTGGGACGGAGGATACATGGGGAGAACTTTATTTCATCTTCAAAGAGCCGCCACCGCCTCGCCTCTTTGACCAGGACACAAATCCTACAAACAATCAAGAGGACATAAACAACGAAGCCCTCCCGCCGACAAGAGTCAGGATCCATCACGCCTCCATAGCCCTAAGACCAGAGGAGACGAGGCAGACCGGTGGCGGTGCTGGCTGGAGGCACGGGAAACCCAAGCGGCTGTAGCATTAGCAAGTAATGCCATTTGCGGATTTATGTTAATGATGCCAAGCTTGCATCCTTTGGCAATTCCATTTTTACATATTATCTTTTGAACATGAATCCAACGCCAATGTTTTTTGTTTTTACCGACTCTAGTACTTTTCTGGCCAATGTTAGTCAATTCATGGGCAAGCTAAACCTTAACTCAATTTTCAGCTTAGCTATACTTTTTTTTTGGTTGAACAAAATTAAGCTCAAACCAGACACACACACTTAAAGCAAGCAAGCCGTCCATGCATGGCGGGAACTAAAATGAGTTCAAACTCTCAATTCCTATTTGGAGTTTGAGGGGTGGTTTCTCCTCGTGAATTTACTCGAATGTATTGGTTTCTCCCAACAAAAAAGAACAAAAATGGTAGAAGCTCTAAATAGAAAGAATAAGGTAGTCAAGTCACCAAGATAGAAGCCCCATCTTTGCAAGCCGGTGTTTGGGCGGATGGCAACTCTTCTTCATCGAGTTGGTCTTCCGGGCTCCGATCCTCCTCGAGTTCGTTTGACAAGGCTCTGGCGTATATTCATGCTGTCTCATTGAGGGCGATGAGGTTATGATTTCTCGTCATGCGTGTGCGGCGGTGAGTTATGCTATCAAGCACTTTGGATCATTTTAAGGGTTTAACGACAACAATTGCGGCTCCAAGGCACTGTTCCGTAAGGGCACGTGCACAATGACTTGCTGGTTGTCATCGACAAGGTCAGGCCGGCACCATCAGGGAAGCAGCGACAGTGGTGCGTCGGTGCTCGTTCTGGAGGTAGTATTGGTCGTTTGATGATCTAAGTATTTGGATGTAGTTTATTATGTTTCGGATGCTTGGTACTTCTGATGAACCTTTATAAGAGTTTCATATACTTTTTTCACAGAAAGATTTAGAAAGAAAAAGAAGATACACATCACCTTCAAATATTAACATTGAACTATTCTACCCGATGTGCTCTGTCTTTAACACTAAAACAAGTCGCATATTTCTTTCTTTGTGTTGGCAAGATGCACAACACAGAGCTAAAATCATCACATCTGGCCCTCTTCATCAGAGCAAGTAGATAAACAGTTTTTTTAGAGAAAAGAACAATGTGAGTAGAAAAAGGTGTTTGTTTGAATATTACTCCCCTCACTTACTATGTACCTAAGTAGGCCCTACGTACCAAGGGGGCAGCATTTTGGTGACTGAAAACCAAAACAATCAGCATTCAGCAGCCACTCCTCCGGAAGGCTTTCAACATTTTGCGAAAAAGACCTTTTGAAGTCTAAAAATTGCGAACAAGTACGACGGCCTTTCAAAACCTTCTAGGAGCCGTTGGATCTGAGATCCAATGGACCAGAAGCTCGTATCATGGGAGCACCTAAAGCATGATATCATCTGATATTTTCCCAACCGATCGAGCAGAGGGCACAGTCCATCTACTCGGGTTGATCTCTATTGCCTCTTCCTCCGAGCACTTCTGTCGTTGCTCGCCGTCCAGCGGTCTCCGGTTCTAAAATTTTCTTTTCCTTCTCGTTTGATATGATAAAACGTGGTAGGTTTCGTCTTAATTTCTACATGCGTGCGTAGTCATGTTCTTGGATAAACTCATGTCGGCTAACCTCGTTAACAAATTTAGGTGTCGTATTATGATTGTTTGTCCTTGACGAATCAACCGCGGCTCGGATTTTCGAACAACAAACAGGTGGACACCATGATCCTTGTGAGAGAAAACGACAAACTGTTTCCGTCGTGTATCTAGCACCTGCAAAACTAGCAGTAAACTAGTGCAATCCGTGGTTACAAAATGTCGCAGCCTATATGGCCAAATTGATAAATTAATGGGTGTGCGCCTTTTTTACATGGATACAATAAGATGTTCTTTTTTCTATGTTCCTTGAGAGAGACATGCTCATTTTTTTTACCCCCCTTGGCCATCTTTTGCTTTTAACCAAACTTTGTCCTCATTTCAAAATACAAAGGAGATGTGAGTGACACACGAGTATTAATAGCTGGACAGCATAAAAATACAAAGAGATAAGTATGTAGGAGTAGTGGTTACTCGTTAGGCTAGACTGTACCCAGGGACTGATCTGTCACTAAATAATAGAGCAGGGTGCTGGCTGGAAAAGCCAAAGCAATCAGCATTCACTCCCTTCCATTTTAAGCGCCTGCGACAGAGTGAGCCGAGCAGAGCAGAGGAGTCAATCTACTCTTCCTCCCACCGCCGCCGCCGCCGCCGCCGCCGCTCGTCGTTTCAAGAGGCCGCCTCCAACCGCAGCGCAGGTGACCCCTCCTCCGCTCCCAAAAACTTCTTTTCAATCGCGTTTGCTCTGTCTTGTCCCGGTTTCGCCGCCGGCGAACTCCGGTTCAATCTCTCCGTGTTCTGTGCGGCTGATCTGTTCATGTTCCTCGCGGAATCTTGATCTTAGCGTGGCTAGGAACCCAGCACCAATCGGGTCAAAAGGGGCTACTCTCCTGCTGTGCACGGGCGTGCCCCTCAACTCTGTAGCTGGCAGTGTTTAATTCGAGCAGGGAAAGAAACTATCTACCTTGAAATTTTGGCCAGATGAAACCAGCATGCGTGCTGTTTCATTCTGTAAGGGGACGTGTTCCTCTTCCGAGGTCTGATTCGTGGCTTCATCTTGGTAGCAGGATGAGCGAAGAGGACTCGACGAGCGCCGCTGCGCAGCAGCCGACGAGCCGGCCCGCTCCGAAGCTCAATGAGAGGATCCTGTCGTCGCTGTCGAGGAGGGCGGTGGCCGCGCATCCGTGGCATGATCTCGAGATCGGTGAGGAGGAGCTGCCTTTTCTCCATTTCTGTCTCCGGCTTTACCAAATGCCTTGATAAAAGTTAAATAAGCTCGGCGAATTGCTGATTGGGTTTTTGGTGCACAGGCCCTGGGGCTCCAGCGGTGTTCAATGTTGTAAGCACCATCTTTTTGCCTTGCCAGCTGAACATCTTCGTCAGTTAAGATATTTGATGTTCTGTTATCGCAAAGTAAATTAGGATGTTGGATCTTGGGCAAGTGGTGGCAGGGGACTATTGGCGTCCACACAATGGAATGTCATTGTTGACCTCATTGTTGTCTGTTTATGGGATCTCTGCAGGATGCAGTTGATTCTGAAGCACAATTTTGATGCTTCACTGCACTCTGTACTAGGAAGTAGGCAACAGTTGGTTTTCACTTTCAGTGAAATCTCGATGAAATTCATCGGAATATTTACCTTTCGTTCAAAATATTTCAATAATTTCAGTGGTACACATGACTTCAAATAATTCTAATATTTTTTAAATTCAAGTGAATGTTACGGCCCTTTGGTGGAAATGCAAACTGAAATATATTGAATTTCTGTCGTTGCTGAAATATTTCTTAAACTGAAAGTGAAAACCAGAATATGCCAGACAGCCTCTTTTTAGTTTATATAAGGTTGCGCTTGTTAAAAGGTGAATTGGGCTATGTCTGAATCAAAATAACTGATGTTCGAACAGTATTGCAATTGTGAGAGCCTGTGGTAGCATTTCAATGTTTTCCTGATCTGTTTCAGTTCAGTAGTGTATAGACATGCCAGTTAAAATGTTAAAAATGAAGCAATCAGTATTAAATGGCACATAAATCTACCCACCATACAAAAATAAAAATAGCATGATACATGGAATTCAGCCACCGGTTCTCACTGTTTTATACTTATACTGAATTCAATTGGCTTATCGTCAATGTTGAGGCTAATGATGGTAGTATGATTAGTATTGGATGTGCAGTTGTGCACTATCTGTTAATAACCTGCTATCACTGCCTTCAGCACGCCTTTTGGCTGCATGCACATATTGATTTGTTGATTCTGTAACTATTTAAATCTCCTTTTTGCTGAATTGGGTCTATGATTTTGATACAAGTAAAATTGTCACTGTGATTTTAGACCTTTTGTTACCTCCGGAGTTTTGTCCCTTAATATTATTATTTTTGTGACTTACGAATTGTAGCACTAGTTTTTAGCCTTGAAATTGAAAGAGAGGCGCTTTTAATCTAACCATTTTTCCCAAATTACAAATTTTCAACAAAACATGTTAACTTTATTGACCAGTTGATAGTTGTGCAACATTAAGATGCGTTTAAAATTTAATCTACTGTTTAGAAAAATTGCTTCTCAGTAACACACAAGTATATTGAGTGGTCTTTGTTTTTTCTGTTAACGATGCTAGACTCTTTATGTAAAGTTGGTCCTGGCTGTGCTTTGAACTCATGAACTTAACTGTTTACATGTATATCTTACTGCAGGTTGTTGAGATCACAAAGGGAAGCAAAGTAAAATATGAGCTTGACAAGAAAACTGGATTGATTAAGGTGTGTTTTGTTTGTATATAAGATCTATTGATCAACACTTTCTATTTCATGACAATGAATTGCTTTAATATTTTTTTATTGTACTTGTGTAAGGAATGATAAATTGAGAAGCATCCACCAGCATAATGCACCTCTATTGCTGTGCTTGCTAAATTGATTTAGTTCTGTACTCATGAGTTGACTTATTTTGCTATTTTTCGTCAAAGCATAATGTACTTCTGTTGTTATGTTATACAACATGACAGGTTGATAGAGTTCTGTACTCATCAGTTGTATATCCTCACAACTATGGTTTCATTCCGAGGACACTTTGTGAAGACAATGATCCAATGGATGTGTTGGTCCTGATGCAGGTTAGTCTTAGCATGTAGGTGATGCACTCCATGCATTATTAAACTATGTTATTATCTACTACCACCTCTGTTTCCAAATGTAAGACATTTTGGCAGTTTAAATTGAACTGCCAGAACGTCTTACATTTAGGAACAAAGGTGTGTCTCCTTTTCATTTTATAAGGCTGCTCTAGTTTGTCTTAAGTCAAGCACTCATAAACTTGACAATATCATGGTAAAAAATTATGGGTTTGACTTGAGACAAATTATGCAGAAGTTATAAACTGAAACAGAGGGGGTAGTGACCATTGTGTTACTCTTTTTATCTCTCACAGGAGCCTGTTATTCCTGGTTCTTTCCTCCGAGCTAGAGCAATTGGCCTTATGCCCATGATTGATCAGGTATTCCTTGTTCATTCTTTGCGCGTTAATGGGAGATGAACGAAAATAGCTTTACCTTGTTTTACTGAGGATGGTGGTTGGTTGTCATCAGGGCGAAAAGGATGACAAGATCATAGCAGTCTGTGCTGATGATCCTGAATACCGTCACTACAATGACATCAGTGAGCTGTCTCCTCACCGCCTCCAAGAGATCAAGCGCTTCTTTGAGGACTGTATCCTGCATAATCCGATTCATTTGTTTTCCTTGTTACATGCAGTAGCAGAGTATCTTATATACTACTGTATATAATTTAGAGGTACATTTGTTCGCATCCTTAGCGGTAACTTGTAGACAAGAAGAACGAGAACAAGGAGGTCGCTGTCGATGCGTTCTTACCTGCAACCACTGCCCGCGAGGCCATTCAGTATTCAATGTAAGTACAGTTTCTTGTTGATCTCTGCCAAGATGTATTTTTCCGTTCTTCGCATATGTGATGACGGTGAAGGTGTATTTTTGTTTACATTGACGCTTCTTTTATTTTATTTTTTCATCGCAGGGACCTGTATGCGCAGTATATTTTGCAGAGCTTAAGGCAGTAGCATGTCGGTGGTAGTTGTATCGTGGAAATCTTCTATTAATAACAAGTGGGGACGAGCTGAGACTTTGTGTGTTATAAATAAATGCGCAACAATGTGTACTCGCACTATTTATGAAGATTAAGTGATGGTTTATGATTGGGAATTTTTTGTTGTGCCTGTTAACAATTTTTTTTTTTGTGTTCCCAATTCGTATATCCATTTTGAATCCTGGTTTGGTTGCTGTCCTGCCAACTCGACTGGGCCAGGCAGTAAGCAGTAATCTTAGGCGTCCATTTAACAGGCCTGGGGTTGGATGTGAACTGGGCCTGGGCCAGGGCACTAACCTTCCAAAAGTAAACTAATTAGTAAGCCTGGGGCGGGTGCCAGACCTTGCCCAACTCTGTCTTTTTTATTTGAGGGAACGGGCCCAACTCTGTCATGTCCAGGCTTTTTTAACTCCACGATGTTGGTTCTCCAATTCAAAAATAAATAGAAAATCCACGGGGTAAGAATATTGTGCTGATCGCCGCCAAACATATCGATCCATGGCGTCGTCCAAAACTGCAGAGCGCCCCCCTCCAGCCATTGTTGCACTCGGCTCGGACGACGTGACTGCACAGTGGTCTTCTCTCCCTACAGATTTGGTCTGCCTTGTCGGCTGGCGGGTGCTGGCCGGAGACCTGCTAGACTACGTCCGCTTCCGGGCCGTGTGCGCGCACTGGCGGTCCAGCACCGTCTGTCCGCACGGACGTGGCATCGCCGATCCACGCTTTCACCCGCGACGGTGGATGATTTTGCTCGAGGGCCATGGCGTTCACCCTCGCATCGACAAGAGACGTTTTCTGAATCTCGCGACCTGAGTTTTCGCTTGTGTCTCGCTGCCTCTCTTGATGGACTGTCGTGTCCTTGATTCGGCCGACGGCCTCCTTGTCCTCTACAAAGACAACGCCAAGACCTTGATCCTTCACCCCTTCACCGGCGACGTTGTGAAGCTCCCGCCGCTCATGAAATCCCACCGGAACCTAGGTGTACAGGGACGGTGTGATTCGGTTCGCCGCATCCTTGAGCGTGAGCGCGGATGGCGTGGTCACGGTCATGATCGTGCATCAATATATACGTCGTGTATTTTTCGCTACCGCCAAGGACCAGCAATGGAACTGGAGCCTCTCGCCCTTGTCCATACCCATGTCATTCCAAGGGAAGTTCTATATACTGGAGCCTCATACTACAGGTAGCAGCGGACGACCGATACTACAAGTTGACCCGCCTAGTTATGAGTATGGGGCAATGTCGCCTTCTTTGTTGCCACCAAAGTTGATTGCCATGTGTCCGACAAGCAAATTTCGTTTCTTCACCATAGCGGAATGTGGCTCAGATGTCCTAGTGGCTGGTTTTGACCGTATGCGGCTAGTTTCTACAAACAAGCTAGTGGTTTATCGAGTATCCGATCTTGCCATTGGCAAAATTGCCCCGGTAACAAGCATCAGAGGCAATACTCTCTTCCTTGATATCAATCCGAGCATGAACATCAAAGATGGCGATATTCTCATCACAAGGAGTGTGACTAGCAGTTATGGAGCGGTGCCTGGCATTACGAGCGATACTATTGTACGTTCTTGCAACGGTTATCCTTTCCAGTACCATCTCGGTAGCGCAAAATGGTCTCAAATAATGGATGAATGTGATGGTCCGCATGGCTGCAATTGCGGCCTCATTTACCATATATATGATTGCTGCCATTGTACTCACAAGCGGGTCAAAGTGTAATTGTTTCTCAGTTAGAGACTTGAGTTTGTGCTATGTACCGTGAACTTATTTGTTTAATTCTGGCCTACATATAGGTAGTTTCTCAAGTGATATAGTACTATGCATGGTTGTGTTGATCTCGTTCGAATTCAGCACTAGATCAGCCTTCACTACGGCTGATTAGATACATTACATAATAAAGTATGAGTTGTTATTGAAAACATATACTGGCACATAGCTTCGGCCTTGTATAACTTTGGTTTTTTTTTTGCCGGCGTATTTTGGGTGTGTGTGTGTGTTTGTGTTGACTATGTGCATCCTAATTTTATAGAGGTCAGGTATATGCTTATCATGGTTGTAGCCCCTTGATGCTACATTATGGTGAATAAAAATACCCTTTATCAAACAAATGTGTTTTTTACCGATCTCCTCATTTTTAATCATCTCAATATGATCAACCATCACCGCACTGTATCAAACCAAATCATAGATTGCCTGGAAAAAAGATCATAGATAATGAGCACATCCATGTTGGATTATCTTTAAAAAAGAACACCGGTTACCCTAAAAAAAAGAACACCGGTGGATTGGGGAGCCGTGGCCTACATTACACGTACGCAAGTTATGAAAAAAAGGGAGTAGTTTTATGTGCACACATATTTTATTTGTGAGAATAAATTATACTACTACAATTATTTTTCAGAGTTAATAATAATTTATTCTTCAGAACATTGAGAATAAATTACATGCAAAGATTTTTTTAGGGGGTTGAGGCAAATTGTTTGCACTGTTTTTTTTTGTGTGAAACCAATCGTTTGCACAGATGGTTGCGATCTAGTACCAGCTAACGGAGGCCAACTAGCATATAGGGCCGGGCTGGGCTCCGACTCTTCTCCCGGTTTAAAATCCCTGTTGCTTAGCGTCGCGATCGGCACGAAGAACAGATCGCTCTTTCTAAAAAAAGAAAACATATCGCTCGATGTCGACGTCCTCGGCGACGAATCGTTTGCGCCCTCCGGCTGTACCGGCTGCCTCCGCCACCGTCCCCGACGAGGCGTCCCCATCTCCATGGGCGTCCCTCCCCGCGGATCTGGTTCGCCTGCTTGGCTGGCGGGTGCTGGCGCGAGATCTGCTCGACTACGTCCGCTGCCGCGCAGTCTGCACACACTGGAGGTCCAGCACCGTCTGTCCCCGTGGCCGTGGCATCGTCGACCTGTGTTTTCACCCACGCCGATGGACGGTGCTGCCCGAGGGACATGGATTAGACCCTGACGACAAGGGCAAGAGACGCTTATTCAGCCTCTCCACCGGAGTTTCCGTTTGCCCTCGACTTCCGGACGACTATCGCATCCTTGATTCGGTCGACGGGATCCTCCTACTGCATCGGCGGCAGCGATAACACGATCAAGGTAGCATCCGTCTCTTCAATCCCTTCACCGGCGACATTCTGGAGCTCCCGCCGCTCGGGTCCGTCATGTCAGACTCAAAACTCCATGAGATATCTACTAGTCATGTGGTACCTGGCGGCGTGGTCACCTCCTTGACGGTGAGCTCGGATGGAGCTGCCGCAGTCATGATCTGGCTTGTAGAATTATCACGCATCATCTTTGCTACCACCAAGGACAAGCAATGGAGTCTGTCGACCCGAATGTTCATTTGGAACAGAAGGCCTATATCATTCCAAGGAAAATTATACATCTTATGTTATGACCTAACTAGCCATGCACTACAGGTTCTCCAGATTGGCCCACCTGTGTATGAGCATGGGACAACCTTGCGGTTAGGTTCATCTTTCTTACCGCCATTGGAGTTGATTGCCACATGTCCAACGATAAAAATCTCCGACGGTATTGGCCTAGCAGAATGTGACTCGGAGATTTTGGTCATAGCCTACAAAGATTCTACACACACGCATATGGTGGTTTACAGAGTAACTGATCTTATCCCCGGCAAGGTTATTCCGGTGACAAACTTCGGAGGCAAATCTGTCTTCTTTGATACCAAAACAGGTATGCAAACTACAAACAATGGGGTGATTCCTACGATCGCGAGTGACACCATTGTACTTCGCCGGCATCACGAGAGATGTCACCCTTGGCAGTACCACCTTGATAGCGGCACGTGGTCGCCAACAACACACCCCATGAGCCATTGTGGCCTGATTTGCCATATATACGACTGTTGTGGTTGTACACTGCGCCCTCGGGAGCTCTAGTTGTGAATTGATACTACTAATGCTGTACAGTTATCTTCTAAATTTGGTGTGCTAACTTGTTTTCCGGCTTATGCATGTACCCAGGACTGTCAGGAGTAGTATGACCAAAGGACCTAAGCAGCTGTAGGTTGAGAGGAGGCTCAACATGGATTGGAAGTGAAGAAGTGGTCATTACTAGGTGATGACTTCTCTTTGGAAGCCTTTTCAAAATGAAATTCTAAGGCAGCAGCGTCGTTTACCTATCTGACACTTGCTTTTTCTATTTATGGACTTCTAGCTATTGGGGATGATTCTTATGGATGCCTGGTTTGGTTTGATTTATATGCATAAATGAAATGATTCTTTTGCATACTCTGTTGGCGTGCCCTGGTTTGCTGTGTACAATTCAAATTTGATGTGCTGATTAATCAACGAATTGTGCAATCATCTTCAAGTGGACATCATGTACGAATAGCTTCCGTTCTCCATGTTCATACTATTTGTCACATCCACTCACATTATGTTCTTCCAGTTCACCCAACCGAAACCAAACCATGATCTTTTTGTGTGTATGTGATTAGAGAGGGTGTACTTGTTCAGGACTTCGCGACGAATGTGGACTGCAGGCTACTCGGACAAGAGCCCTGTCCATCTTATCTAGTGACTCTCTTACACGGTCGGCATATGGGCACTAGGTATTGGAAATCAAGTTTCTAATGGAAGGTCGGGAGTTCATTCCCCAAAAGCTTACTAGGTCTCAGAATAGGATAGCAGATTGTCTGGCTAATTACAGCCGTACTGAGTCGAGTACTGTTGTTTGGCTTCAAAGTGGTCCTCCTTGTATTGAGGAGCTCCTGCCAGCTGATTGTAATCCTATTATTACTAAGGAATAAAACTCCCTTTATTCTTGCAAAAAAAAGAGAAGGCGGTGCTTGATGTCGGCATCTTAGACTATGGGCGTCGTATCAAATTTTTATTTCGTTGCAACGCACGTGCATTTGTGCTAGCAAACTGCCTACGTTCGTCATGCGGTATGGCTTAAGTCGTGCCTAATAACAAGTGAGGGATCCCAACATACGTGCGTGCGTGTGTCACCTTATTCACGCGAGGAAAGGATATATATGCATCAAGTTGAACCACGTAGGTACCCTAAAAATAAAAATAAAAATTGAACCACGTACATATGGCTGGCCAACCAATTATTACGACCCGGTCCAGTAATAATCCTTGCCTTGCCCATCAACTTGAGTTCCGATCGATCGGTTTGATCTCCTCGTGGCAGTCTGCGTCTCTCTCTGCTATATATCCCGTACATAGAGCTAGCTAGGGTAGAAAGTCCAGATCCATCTTTTCCTTTCTCCTCGAAACAAGACACCAGATATATACGCCGTCTATGCTGAATCCGCTCATGTCATCGTCGGCCAACCGCGACCACGCATCAGCCGTTGCTGATGTTGCCTCATCTCCGTGGTCATCTCTGCACGCGGATTTGGTTCGTCTAGTCGGCTGGCAGGTGCTGGCCCGAGATCTACTTGACTATGTCCGATTTCGTGCCGTGTGCGTCCACTGGCGGTCCAGCACCGTCGCCCCGCGGGGGCAAGGCATCGTCGACCCGCGCTTCCACCCCAAGAGGTGGTTCCTGCTGCCTGAGGGTCACGGCCTTCACCCTGCTGACGGCAGGAAACGCTTCTTCAATCTCTCCACAGGGGTCTTCGTTCGTGCCTGGCTCCCGCTCTTAAGCGATAGCTATGTCCTTGACTCGGTCGACGGCCTCCTCCTTTTGCAACGGAAAAAACAAGACACCTCTGCAATCCGGCTCGTCCACCCATTCACCGGTGACTTTGTGGAGCTACCGCCGCTCATGTCCCTGGTAAGGGCCAACTTGGATATGTCAAATGGCAGGAGACATGTTGCTTTCAGTGGTGTCACCTCCATGAGCGTGAGTATTGATGGAGTCGTCACCGTCATGATCAAGCTTTATAATATACCACGAGTATTCTTTGCTACTACCAAGGACCAGCAATGGAGTGTCTCGACTTGGAGCCTCCAAGGCTACTCTCATACAATATCATCCCAAGGGAAATTATTTGTGTTGGATTCTCCCACCACATATGGCGGCAAACAACATATTCTGCAGATCGATCCACCCCGCCTTGATCATCACGCAATGTCATCTTATTTGTTGCCGCCAAGGTTGATTGCCACGTGTCCCAATGACAAAATCAGAGGCCGGTTCAGCATGGAAGAATGCGTCTCGGAGATCCTACTGATTGGTCACGACGCTAACCCACTTTTAGAGGGGCGCATGCTCGTCTACAAAGTAGCCGATCTTATCATGGGCAAGGTTGTCCCAGTAACAAGCATCGGAGGTAATACTCTCTTCACTACTATTGACCATGGAATTTGCATCGAGGACGATGATGTCTCTGTTTATGTGAGGGAGACTATTGCCGTGAGTTACAAGGCCATACCTACTGCTGTGGGCGACACCATTGTACGTCGTCGGCGTCTCAAGGATAATTCTCCTTTGTACTACGACCTCTCTAGTGGCGAAAGCTTCCTAACACTTTCCGTGGGGTGTGCTGATGGTTGCCATGATTGCACATGTGGCCTTGTTTATCATATATACGATTGTTGTCATTGTGGTGACTTGCGTACGAGCAAGTTGGTACACCAAAGTTTCTAGAGAAGATTCATCTTAGACGGATGGAATGTTTAAAACAGAGATAGCTGTTATGAGATTACTTGGGTATTTTTATATATCTCCTTCGGTTCGGGCTGCAATTTTGGCATATATATGATGTGTTTTGACACCGCGTAGAAGCGGATGATTCCTAATCTTTAACATGTTATGCATGTCTCTGTGTGTGTTACCGCTGCCTCATAGAATTATTTATTTTAGCAATATGTGTATATGTTGTAATAGATCCGCTACTTTTCTTTCATGTTAAAATAGTAGCAAACATGTATGATATATCTTATACCCCTAGACCAATTATACACACAACCAAATGAAGCATCTAGTTAGTTCTCTTCTAGGCATGAAGGTTAATAATTAGAAAAGAAACCCGTCGTTAATTATTTAAAAAATGCAAGGTCAATTACTCAAATTTGTCATGAACCATACACTAAAATTACCATGGTGAATTACTTAAATTTGCAAAGATACATGCACTAAAATTTGCCATGGTTCATACCAAAAATAATTTCCTTGGTCAAATACTAAAATTTCATGGTCAAACTACTAAAATTTCCATGATCTATAAACTAAAGTTGCCATGATTTTTAAACTAAATTTTCCATGATGAATTACTAAAAATTGCCATGATCCATGAATTAATTTCACCGTGGTTAATTACTAAAAATTTCCACGATCCATTCATAAAATTTGCTCTGAAAATTAGTTGATATAAAATGGCAGCTTTAAAATCTAGAAGAAGAAAAATAGATGAAACATATCATGACAACTTTAGTGTAAACACTATGACAATTTCAATGTAAATATCATGGCAACTTTTGGCACAAAAAAATCGTCGAAACATAGCAATATGGGATTTAGTTTTGAATATCTCGTCGAGGCAGATTTAACGATGAAAATAGATTTGTAATCAAATTTATTATTTGGGAGATAATACATTTTGAAGTCTAAAAAACAAAAAAAAATCTGCTGATGTTATCCATTTGATGTGGCAAAATGGATGATAATAGGGGCGTTAGGACCATGTTGCTTCGTACCACATATGGGCCACTTATCATTTGGGTTTAATAAAGATCCACACGTTTCATATTGCTCATATCATACTCAAGTTTCCAAGCACAAGAAAGATAAGTGGTTGTGTGACGAATCAACCTAAATTTTGGCACCAAGATAATAGTTGAAGTATTACTCAAAAAATATCTATGAAATTTTAAGAACAATTTGTATAATTATTACTATTAGTATTTCCATGATAGAAATCTAGATATATTTTCATACAAAGGTTTAAATACAGGTTTTTACTACCCATAAGGCAAATTATTTTAATTTTGACCATTTTATGGATAAGATATTAGTCACAACTTGTTAGTGGGTGCACTAGTTACTACCTGCTACCTCTTGAGCACTGCGTTGGTTTTCCCTTGAAAAGAAAAGGGTGATGCAGTAAAGTAGCGTAAGTATTTCCCTCAGTTTTTGAGAACCAAGGTATCAATCCAGTAGGTGGCCA